ATTTTATTTGAACCACTGCATAATGTTTTATTAGCGAAATACTATTAATTTTATAATAATTTTATAAGAAAACATAATAACCAATAGTATTTCTTTAATAACTCATGATCCAGTGATCCAAATCAAATGATTTTGATACCATTCGACTCCTCACCTCGAGACAATTCGAATGGTACCAAAATCATCCAATTTGGACTACTGGATCAAATTTTATCTAAATTTTTATAAAAAACTTGTGTTATATTTTTGGAGACCCCTCTCTAAATATTGGAAAATCATTATATTTTGGGGGATCCCCTCCCCTCCCAAACATAACATTATTTATGGATGCCCCCTTACAAGAAATGCACAATTGCTTAACTACGTATATATAATATTTTTTTTTTTTTTTTTTTTTTGTTCGCTCTTTTTATATATATAATTTAATGCATAATTTTAAAGTTAATTATCAGTTATTATTGTCTTCGAACCAATTATCAATTTCAATTTCTTTTTGAATTCTCAAATTCTGATAAACTGTAACAAGTTTTTTATCTGTTCATTATCTAGACATGCACGATATTTATTATGAATAAACTCAAAGTTAGACCAGCAACGTTCTACTGTAGCTGAAGAAGCTGGAACAAAAAGAACTTAGCAGACAAGTTTAACCACGAAAGAGAATTTCTTTGAAAAATTCAACTTCCACTAACTAATTGTGCTTGAATGTTCAATGGATGCCTACAACAATAACTTAGAAAATTCATCCACTTTGGTGATATATTTTTGTATTACTCCAAATATCTTTAATAAATAAAAATTTTTGTATAAATAAAAAAAAAATTAAAATTAATAATTTAATAAATATTATACTTACATGTGTTGCAGTTCCAAATGAATAGATATTTTGAATATATAGAATGATAATATTTTCAAGATCATCTGGTTTTAGTGATTCTCTACAAAACCTAAATTAAATATATTAATATATTATACTGTATATTAATTTTTATACAGTATATTAAAATTTTAAATATTTACCAAGGATCTAAAAGGTTTGCAATTGCCATCGCAGGATGAAATACAAAATCGAACTATTTATCAATCAAATCAAAAACTTTAAGTTTAAAATTCAACTCAAAATCGCACAAATCAACTGATTCTCGAATTATTTGCCATTCATAAAGAGCAGATGAAAGTAAAGGTTCGTCTGATTCAAATAAATGTATAAGTTTGACAAAAGACATTAAAAAAATTTTTAATTTTTTAAATTCTTCTCACAATGAATCATTTAATATCTGTTTTTTAAGATTATGTGAAAGTTTCTTGCTAACTTTAAGTTGTATAATAGTTATTTGAATTTCTAATTTGCATCAAATAACTGATTGAATTGCATTTAAATAAGTTCTCCAACATGTATCAACAGGTTGAACCAAAGTAATTGTATTTGGCTAACTTATAAAATTGATTCTGCAGCATAATATCCTCTAAAAAAGCTAATAATTTGCTTTATACAATTGATTAATTTTTCTACCCAATTAAGTTTAAGTATATTTTTAATTAAAAGATTTCCAATATGGAGGTCGTCTAAAGCCAGGTGTGGTCACATGTCACAAGGCTTAGTCGAATGCCTCAGAAGATCAAATCAATAATTTTTGTGTAACCTACGTATATCTATTTAATTTTATAAAAATTAAATTTTTTTAAAAATTTGAACGAAGATATTTTAGCAACTACTTAAGAAAATTCAATTAATTTTTTTTTTGTTTTAATTATATATACCTGTAGAATTGAAATAAAAAAAACTTTCATCAAATTGCTAAGATGGTTACTGAGATATCTTCATTTAAAAGTTGGGCAAATAATTAAAATACTAATGAAATAGAAGCAGAAATAAAACTTTGAGTGAAGATATCTTTGCAACCACTTAAGAAAATTCAATGAACCTTTTTTTTATTTTAATTCTACAGACTTGTTGAATTAAAATAAAAAAAATTCATCAAGTTTACTTAGATGGTTGCCTTGATATCTTCGTTTAAAGTTTAAAACACCTATAAAATAGAAGTGAAGATAAAGTTTTTTAAACCTTTCAGTGAAAATATCTCTGCAACTACTTAAGCAAATTCTATGAACTTTTTTTTTATTTAATTTTACAGAATTATAGAATTAAAATAAAAAAAAATTAATCAAATTTACTTAGATAGTTGCCTTGATATCTTTGCTCAAAGTTTAAAACGCCTATAAAATAGAAGCGAAGATAAAGTTTTTAGACCTTTAAGTAAAAATATCTCTGCAACTACTTAAGCAAATTCTATAAACTTTTTTTTTATTTAATTTTACAGAATTATAGAATCAAAATAAAAAAATTCATCAAATTTACTTAGATGGTTGCATTGATATCTTTGTTCAAAGTTTAAAACGCCTATAAAATAGAAGCGATGATAAAGTTTTTTTAAACCTTTTAGCGAAAATATCTCTGCATCTACTAAAGCAAATTCTATGAACTTTTTTTTTATTTAATTTTACAGAATTATAGAATTAAAATAAAAAAATTCATCAAGTTTACTTAGATAGTTGCCTTGATATCTTCGTTCAAAGTTTAAAACACCTATAAAATAGAAATGAAGTTAAAGTTTTTTAGACCTTTCAGAGAAAATATCTCTGCAACTACTGAAGCAAATTCTATAGACTTTTTTTTTATTTAATTTTACAGAATTATAGAATTAAAATAAAAAAAAATTCATCAAATTTACTTAGATAGTTGCCTTGATAACTTCGTTTAAAGCTTAAAACGCCTATAAAATAGAAGCTAAGATAAAGTTTTTTAAACCTTTCAATGAAAATTCTCTGCAACTACTCAAGCAAATTCTATGAACTTTTTTTTATTTTAATTCTACAGGATTGCAGAATTAAAATAAAATAAAATTCATCAAATTTACTTAGATGGTTGCTTTGATATCTTCGTTCAAAGTTTAAAACGTCTATAAAATAGAGCGAAGATAAAGTTTTTTAAACCTTTTAGTGAAAATATCTTTGCAACTACTTAAGCAAATTCTATAAACTTTTTTTAAATTTAATTTTACAGAATTATAGAATTAAAATAAAAAAAAAATTCATAAATTTACTTAGATAGTTGCCTTGATATCTTTGTTCAAAGTTTAAAATGGCTATAAAATAGAAGCAAAGATAAAGTTTTTTAGACCTTTCAGTGAAAATATTTCTGTAACTACTGAAGCAAATTCTATGAACTTTTTTTTTATTTAATTTTACAGAATTATAGAATTAAAATAAAAAAAAAATCATCAAATTTACTTAGATGGTTGCCTTGATATCTTCATTCAAAGTTTAAAACGCCTATAAAATAGGAGCAAAAATAAAATTTTTAAAACTTTCAAAGAGGATATCTCTGCAATCCTTAAGCAAATTCTATGAACTTTTTTTTATTTTAATTCTACAGAATTGTAAAATTAAAATAAAAAAAATTCATCGAATTTATAGAGATGGTTGTCTTGATATCTTCACTCAAAGTTTAGTAAGAATTAAAATAGAAGCAAAGATAAGATTTCTAAAACTTTCAACGATTATAAATTTTAAAAACTTCAAATTAATGTTTTTGAGAACTTGTAATTTATTTTATTTAATTTCACTAAAAAAAAAATGCAAATTTATTTTTCATGCACTTTTAAACTAATATTCGTTAATTTTATTTAATAGAGGCTCTACGTGCATATTCAACTCTTGAACAAACACATTTGTTTGTGCAGAATTGCCCCTCTCTTCAACCCACCAATATACATCACATATCCTTTCAATCAGCTCATTTACAGCTAAATGACGACTCTCTGTGGCTTTTTCAGCTTCAGTTTTTTGTGGTCTTCTTACTTCAACTAATTCACAACTAGTATAAATATCGAATCCAGCCTCTTCAAACATTTGTTGAAATTTCAACCATGCTTTATTTGTTAACAATCTTGTAGTACCATTCATATGCTCATGAAATACATGTTGACAGAGGAGCAAATATTAGCAAAAAAAAAAGGCAATCACATCCAAGTGATGTAAGATCTGGTGTAGATTTTCCTTTTTCTATTTTTTCTTCGATAGCACAAAATTCATTGATTATTAATTGTTGAATAGGGTAAGGAAATTTGTGAATTTTACTAAGTATATTATTATCTACCCCAAATACAGAAATTTTTTTGGTGCGAAATTCAAAGGCAACGTGGTCCAAATCTAAATATTTCTTCTTATCGAGTTCAACTACCTTATAGCACGAACCTAAATAATAACAATAAAATTGTAATAAATAATTAATCTTAATAATTTTTTTTTTTTTTGTATTTTTGTTTAGTGCTTGGACCCGAGTTTAAATTTTTAATTAGTTTAATTCAAACCAACTCAAGTCCAAGCATTATATTGAATTCATTGCATCACACAATTCTAATTCAGAATCAATTTTTATTTAAGTTGAAAACCAAAGTATTGATTCTATATTTAAAATCAATTAACTTTTAGAATTGCACTTATATAAATGAATATATAAACTTAATAAATTATTGAACACTAGTGGTACAATTTAGATGCCCTCTTCTCATCTTTCTTGACTCTGATTCTTCATACCAATTAACTTATAAGTTTGAAAATAATAATAATTAAAGCACATAATTTTAAAAATCTTTTACCATTTAATTATACTATTAAAAATGCGATATCAGATTCCTAATTAAATCTTCCAACTTGCCAAAAAAATTCATTCGATTGCGTTATCATAAGGTTGGCTTAAAGTTGCAATTCTTTAACATGATCATCAACACTTTTATTACCTAATAATCCTTGAGCTATTGAATATTACATCTTTGTAAATTAAGTATTTTAAAGAATTTTTGATTAAAGCTAAATTTATCAAATACTAATATATATTCTTGGTTATAGTATCTTAAATATGCTGAAAATAAATCATACACAGTAAATAATAGTCCACTTACTTTTAAATTTAATAATTCTTAGAACTTTACATATTTTTAGTCATTCGTATTCAATCTAGACAGATTACTAAATCGCTTCTCAATTTCATTTATATTATCTGAACTTTCTACACCTTTATTCCATTGACTAAGTTTGTATCAAATTTATAACAATCAGAAGGTCTTTGTCCCGTTGACATCTTCGACAGAATAACTCCACAGCCATAAATATCATAAATATCTGCAGCTTCTTTGCAGTTATTGTAAACTTTTAACCTATAAAATCTCTGGAGCAGAATAAAGAATGTCTTTACAGATACAACCGACAAAATTATATTTATATATATTTTTTTTCTTTTTTTTTGACAGTTTTAAATCTGAGAATGTAATATTGCATTGTGTTGCATATGTTGTTATCTTGCAAGATATTATACTGTGAAAGTTTGCATGAATTTGTTGTTATATAAAGCATCAGCAATATTATTATTTAATCTTGCAAGCAAGATTTTAAAACTTCCAATACCTGCATGTACGTTTTGATGATTACGTGCAAGTTGTTCTTTATCTTGAGCATGTTCTTTCTGCATTTTTTCTAATAAATTATAATCTCTTAATAATAGTATGGAAAGATATTTTCTTTATATATATATGGTCTAGTGTATATATGCCAATGAAATTATTTTGGGCTCAAAAACCCAAAATTAAAATTTGAAGACGAAATTGTTTTTGATCTATTTTACTTAAAAGATGAAATTTTTTGATACTTTTTTGAATAGACGAAATTATAAAGAGTATAAATATATAAATTTTATTTGCTCTTTCTTATAAAAAATTTTAATTT